TGCTCTTGGTCATTGTGCTTCTGATGATCAGATTCTTCTTCTTGGGGCAGGTTTCTAAGCTGTGTCACCCACAGATCTGCAGTTTGATTTTACTTATTGCAGTTGGCACACAACTCTTTGTTTGCAGTCCCTTGTCACTCCCTCCAACAAGTTCCAGGTTTGGGTTCTTATGTTAGATTTCCACCGAGGTCTCTGTAGCCCCAGCTCCTGGCTCACCACTCTCACATCCTGTGATACTGTGTTGAGGCTGCACCATTGTCTGTACAACCTTTCTCCCACTTCCTGTTGGAGCAGGTCCCAGGATTAGTGAGACACCAGGTGACCTGAATAGCTAGGTTGTTGATGATACTGATCTTGCCAGAAGCTGTTGGCCTTAGGTCTGAGGGGCCACTCGGACCTATTTTGACCCATACGATGCCATAGTCATTATTATTTTCCTGTGGGACCATTGCAATGCACTTAACTCAGGGAGTTCTCGCCAAGCTCGGTACATACACAACTCACTGTAGTTCCTGCAGTCTTAAATTCTTTGCCACACTGTACAAAATGGCACCTAATATGCCACTACTAGAGTTCTTGATCTGTTAGCCCTCAGGTCTGGGGGCTACCCGGACCTGTCTTGGGTGGAACCTGTAGGATGCCACAGTGTTGAAATTTGCTGAGCCAGAAATGAGTTCACACCCAGCTCAGTGCATGCACTGTACTGTCCATAGCCCCTGCCTTAAACAAAATGGCACTGATACGGCTCCAGGGGGCCAACTGGGTTGTGAAATCCACCCTGTTCCTGCACTGCTTGTCTGGGATCTGCTGCTCTGTCTCTGCTCCTGGTCAAATCAAACAGACCAGCAGGATGGGCAGTTCTTTACCTGGGATCACCTCTGGAGCTCCCAGTGAAAAGTCTCTTCCCACCTGGTTGCTGTTGTAGTTCCGGCTGCTGGTGCAATTTGGGTCGCTGTTGGCTGAATGCCACTGGGGTACCAGTCACTGTAACACCACACCATTGTGTCTGCTGCTTTCCTGTGTCGGTCAGTCTCCAGGTACCCCACTGCTGATGTTCTGTCCTTTCCTATTTCCTGGCTAATATCCTTTCCTTCACACTAGGTAATATTTCTCCATCTGTTTAAACATGTCCTTACCCTATTCCACCATCTTGATTCCAGTGCTACTCTATTTTAATGGATGGATGACTTGCATGCTATGTAGTTTGGATTCATGTTTGCTACCGCTAAGCACCAGCATCCCATATGGATGTCGGTTTAAAGCCTGGCAGTTCCACTTTCCAACAAACTCCCAGCTTGTATCCTGGGAAAGCAGACGAGGATGGCCCAAAACCTTGGGGCCCTGCACCGGCTTGGGAGACCTGGAAGAAGAGGCTTCTGGCTCCTGGTTTCTGATAGGCTTAGCTCTGGCCATTGTGGCCACTTGGGAAGTAAACCAGCAGATAGAAGATCTTTCTCTCTGTGTTTCTCCTTCTATCCATAAATCTGCCCTTCTAATAAAAATAAGCAAGACTTTAAAAAAATAAATAAATGAAGTCTCATATAGGAAGTTGCACGTTTTTCTTTGTCTGCTGTAATGATCTCCACCTTGTAACCATGGCATTCAACTTTACTGTAATCACAGATGTATTCAATTGCAATTGTATCTTCTTACTGTGTTTTCAATTTGTCCTTCTCTGTATGTTTTTCTTCTTCCTTACTTTCTTTTGAATAAGTTCATATTTTTTTTTTGCGTGTGTTCGCATTGCATGTCTTTGAAAGTTTTAAACCCTATTTCTATCAGGAAATTCTGAATCTCCTTTATATGTTATCTCTATTATGTATTAGCTTCCTGGGGACCTCCAGGTTTGGTCAGTGGTCAGTCTAGAAGGATGCTGTTATCAGGTGTTCTATTTCTACGGCTTTCCTTTCCTGTGTTGGCAGCCCAGACTTGTTCTGCTAATGCTTATTGAGGTTTCCTTGTGGGTTGACCTTAATCACAATCCTCATTTCTCACGCCTCACTCCTTCCATCCAGGCCGCTGTCCTCCACAGGAAGTGGGTTCGTTGGACTTCCGAGTGTGAGTTTATATGCCATCACCTGGTAGAAATCCGTCTTGGTCCTCAGTGCTGCTGTCGAGGTCTCACAGCTGTCAGTAGGTCTCACAGCCTAGCTCGAGGATGCCAACTCTGCACGTGGGGTGCAAGCCTCACTCTTCCTGGCTCATTGTTTGTTTGTTAGCCCTTTTCCTGTGGCTCTGCCAGGGTTGGCCTGTCTGGCCCCCAGCTGCCTGCTTAGGGGTACTTCAGCACCCTGCGGTTTCACTATGATGCGTCCAGTTGTGGATTGCTTTTCTCTTTCTTCTGCTTGAGATATACTGGGATACTGGGAAGTGGGGGCTGGTGTGTTTAATCACACCTTATCATTCCATATGCTGCCAAAGCCCTAGTCCTTTTTCTTCTGAAACTCTGCCCATAATGCATCTTCTCCTTGTATCCTCGTGTGTTCTATTTCACTAATGCTTCTCTGAGCTACATTCTAGGTAACAGAATCTCGTCTCTCTGTCAACTTACTAAATATGTTTTTCATATCTATATAATTATTCTGTTAAAGCTATCTCATGATTTTAGTTTCAAGTCCTATATTTAGGATTTCAGACAAATGCACAAATACATTTCATTTGGTAATATTTTAAAATATGATTACTGGTCATGTATCAATATGCTTCTTTTTAATTTCTTGAAACATACAAAATGTACCGATTTTACATTTAATGCCTGAGGATTCCTACAGTTTTAGGAGATCTAGATCTGTTCTCTTGTGTTTTTGTCAGCAATCAGTCATGATGCATGGACAGATAATTTAGAATGAGCACCTTGGTTTCCCAGGAACCCTATCTGTGAAAATTCTTTGATGCCTTAGCCAAACAAGAACTCTCATTTTTGTTTGTCTGCTTGATTGTTTTTAAACCATTATTTATGTTATTTATTTGAGAGATCCGAGTCAGCTGGTCTTAGTCTTCAAAGGCCAAAGCAGTCAGAGCTGATCCAGGCCGGAGCCAGGGATCCTTAGATTAAGTGCAGTGTGCGAGGGACCCATGCAGGTTAACATCCGCTGCGTTCCAGGACATGCATGAGCAGGGAGCTGGAATAAGCAGTGGAGCCTGGATTTAGATCCAGAAGCGAGGACTTGCACTGAGGTACTCCCACATGGGATTTCCACTTCCCCAAGGGACCTCTTAACCACTTACCCCAAAGCAGGCCCCAGCGAAGAATCCTCACAAGATCTGAATGGTTGCTTTCAGTTTGAGTTGGGGGTTAAGGGGGTGGAAACCAGGGCAAGGAAAGGGGTTAAGTAGCTCCGGGAAGGATGCAGATGGGGGCTGGCTCAGGTAGCTTGGGCCACCCCAGGGAGCAGGTGGGGAACACGAAGCTGATGCCCACTGTGGCCTCAGGCAGTGCTTCGGAGATCACAGGGACCTTGAGTGACATGGATAGAAGTCAATTACACCATGCTCTATGAAGGAAGAAGGGAGACAACAACACAAGGTTTCTGTTTGCTACTGGGAACCTAAGAGGAGCATGATGCCGCCGCAAAGAAGGAATGCTGCCAGTTCTACTGTAACACTCCCGCTCCCAAAGACACCGCAGCTCTATAATAGGGCTGTTAAAACGGCAGAGGACCAGGTCCTGGGATCCAAGGAAGCAGGAATTCGCACAGCGCCACTAACATAAATGAAAGCATCTGCCCTCATCTGCAAAGAGAATATACACATGAAATAACGAGACAGTTTGCTTTCCAAGAAGACTAAAAGGGAGGCGGTCTAGGGGTAGGGGCAAAACACCAGCAACCACACAGCTGTGCACACCTATGTACAGACAGGTAGAGGGATGAGAGACGTGCCAGCTAGGGAAGACCTTGCATGAAGAACCCAGTGCTCCTGCATGCCTCTCAGCCTTCCGTGGGAGCAGCCCAGTGGTTTATCCGAAGGGTCTTCCCACCGCTCACACACTTGCCTGGTCACAGCTCGTTGCAGTGCAGCTGCTAGAGCAGGTGCTTTCCTTTCCACCCGCAGTTCTTGGGAGTCGGGACACTACTGTCGAAACCTTGCAGTGGCCAGGGCTGCTGGGGGAACCTGCCCAGCTCCTAGGACACTCAACCCTCCCTATCCCCTAGGGGCCCAAACACAAATGTATGAGTTCCTTCCATGGAATGATCCAGCTCTTGCATCCACCCTGTACGTGACCGTGCATATTGCTGATACCCTCTATCAATTATAATTCTCAGCTTGATGGGAACACATTGGAACTGCAGCTGCAGTGCAGTAGTTAAGGACTAGCAACAAGACACCAAGAAGGAGCCCGTGCAATAGTATAGTGGTTAAAGTCCTCGCCTTGGACCCGCCAGAATCCCATATGGTCACTGGTTCTAATCCCAGCAGCCCCACTTTCCATCCAGCTCCCTGCTAGTGGCCTGGGAAAGCAGTCGAGGACAACCCAAAGCCTTGACACCCTGCACCCATGTGGGAGACCCCTAGGAGTTCCCGGCTTCCGGCTTCAGATCGGCGCAGTACTGGCCGTTACAGTCACTTGGGGAGTGAATCAATGAATGGAAGACTTTCCTCTCTGTCTCTCCTCCTCTCTGTGTATATCCGCCTTTCCAATAAAAATAAATAAGCTTAAAAAAAAAAGATACCAAGTCTTGTTCAGTACAGATGCCATACTTCTCCCACCACAAGCATTTTCCGACGTGCTATGTGCTGGATCATGGCTAGCAAGACTGGAGACACCAAGGGCTGAGTGTAGTTGGTTCCAACGTAGGAAGGTGCACCTGAAGAAACACGGAGGGCGACTCTCTTGAGTTTTCTCTTCCAGGGTTTCCTTCCCATGAGAAGGAAAGGATTACTCATCCCCACTGGTGTTGGTGGCTGCCTAAGGGGAAGGCAAGCCCACTAATGCCCCCCATTTGCTGTGGCTGCCACTCGCTCCCTGTAACACAGGGCACACCACTCGTATCTTCCAGAAAGCGAAGCCTCTGTACATCCAGTCCAAGACGAATCTGGTGGACACCTCGCCCAGCTCCAGTGACCACCGCCTGCCCTCGGTAAGTCCCCTGTGGCCTTAGGCGCGCCACACCTGGTAGGCTCTGGGAGTGCAGGCATCATGGCCGGCAGGTGGCCGTCTTCAAGGAGCCAGGAACCCCGTGTTTGCGCTCAGGAAGACTGCGAGTGACATGACCATCCCACCCCACTGGTCCCGTTACCCTCCAATAAACAGCACAGGACAATGTGTGTGGGCACAGGCCAGGAGGCTGGGGCTGTTCCCCCTCTTAAAGGGAATTGTGCCCAGTGGAGAGGGGCTGGAGGCAGTGGTGTAGGGGTGAAGGTGAAGGTTGCTGGAGAGATTCCTGGAGTCCGCTTGAAGGCTGCTGAAGGAGACCCGGCCCCTCTCTCTGGGCCCTCACACAGATGACACGATCTCGGGTCTGGGTGGTGAGGGAAGTTAGGACCAGTTGGTGTCCTTTAAGCCTCAGTTAACAAGACTATCTGTTGGTCGGCCCCCAGATAGACGTGGCATACCTGGACATGGAGGAACGGATGTCCTTCCCTCGGCATTCCAGAGGTAAGGCACTTCCCGCTCAGAAGCACGGGCTCCCACCACGAGGCGCAGGTGTCTGGGGGTGATGCTGCCATACCCTTTCGCCAACCGTCAGGGTGAACACAGGATTCCCTTCTGCCCGTGTGACCAGAAAGTAGCATGAGGGTAGCAAGGTCTGGTTGTGCTTGTCACCTGTGGCTGCTGATTTTCTCCCTAAAAGCCTGCCATGGAAAGGGTTAGGCCATGTCAAAGCCAACGTCCTGTGTAGATGGCAGGTCCCACCTAGGTGGCTTTCGCCTCCTGCTTGCAAGGGTGGTCATTACCAAGAAACTGGGATGCAAGTGTCCCTAGTGGTGTCTTCACCACTGTACCCGATACCCGGCTATTTTAGAACTTCATCTTTTTTGTTTTTTAAGATGTATTTATTTGTTTGAAAGAGAGTGAGAAAGGCGGCGTTGTCCTGTAGTAGGCAAAGCTACCACCCCGTATGGTTGCTCCACTTTGGACCCAGCTCCCTGCTGCTGCATCTGAGAAAGCAGCAGAAAAAGAATCAAATTGCACCAGCCCCAGCCATCCATGGGGAAGACTGGGACAGAGTTCCTGGCTCCCGGTTTCTTCTGCCGGGCCCAGTTCTGGCAGTTGCAGCTATTTAGGGAGTGAACCAACAGATGGAAGATTATCCAGCTGTCATCTAGCTATGTCTGCACTTCCCTTTCTGTGTCTCTGTAATTCTGTCTTTCTGATAAATAAATGTTTAGAGGGAAAAATCTGCTAATAGAGGACTGCCCTGGCCACAGAAGGATCTGGTATGCTCACAGCCGACTGCCCTGGCTCCCTGTTGCCCGCCCTCTCCCCCCACCCCGAGCTGGCTGTCAGCTCACAGCCATGCCCAAACTGGACTCATGGCTCACATCCACCCCCTAGCATACAAGGAAGCTATCAAGCCTTGAAGATCCTGGCGTTGAAACAAAACTGGTTACATCTGTGGAGTTATTGACCATCCAGACGCCCCCGGGGAAGTTATTTCTGAGCCACTTTGCTGCGTTCATGACTTATTGTTTAAAACAGAAGCAGAGGAGTGGGTTGATGGATGTGGAGTCTGCGTTTAGCCAAAACTTCTGATGAAGCACAGCATTCCTCTCCTCAAACATGCACTGGAGCGTCTTGCGCCCAGAATTGACTTCCCACAACCAAGCAACATGGTTTTTGATTTTTTCCACTCGAGGGAACACCAATAACTTTGATGGGTGCCTGGCACACACAGGGCAGCCACAGCCGACACAAACACTGCCACTGGCTCTCCTCTGCTCTGAAAATGTGGGACTCAAAGTCACTTCCTCTCTGTTTACTGTAAATCCTCCTCAAGTGCACTTTTTTTTTTTTTTTTGGCCCTGCAAGCACAATGAAACAGAAAGGCTTTTTGTATGATGCCCGCCATTGCAGCTTGCTTACCACATAGTTCACCGCTCTGGATGTTAACCCGTCTCTTTGAGGAGGCCTCGGCGCGACTTTTCACATGAAGAATCTCTGGAGAGATTTCTTCCCATTAAAATGCTAACACAGCCATGACAGCCATGTCCTTCTCCAAAGATATTTTTCAGGAGCTCATTCTGGTTCACCAATGTTTCCAGTTAATTGGTTCCAGTTAATCTGATTGACTAAGATAAATAAATAGCCCAGTGCCAGGAGGAAAGCTGAGTTGCTAAGGTCCTGGTTTGGGCCATAATGAATTGTCTCCTTAGCAAGAGGAAATTGGGGTCACACTGTGGCACCTGCATTGTATATGGGCACCAGTTTGAGTCCCAATGACTCTACTTTTGATCCAGTTTCCTTGCTAAGGCTCCTGAAAAAATCAGCAGAGATCCACACGCTTGGGCCATCCTCCATTGCTTCTTCCAGGCCATGAGCAGGAAGTTAGATCAGAAGTGAGGCAGCTGAAACTTGAACCAGTACCCAATGGGAGGCTGGCACTGCAGGTAGCAACTTGACCCACTGCGCCACAACACCAGACCCAGTAACTTTTTCCTGTAGCTGTTTTTCCATGGGCTTTTAGTAGTTCCCCTTCTGCCTCACAGTTTAACCCATGACGGGTGGTTTCAGTCACTGAGGCACAAAGGCACCAGAGGTGTTAGTACACAAATCTTTGTTACTTTCTGTAACATGATGCGGATGAGGAGCCCTTGTAACCTACCAGGAGTGACAGACTTACTGTTATGCGGCATCTCAGTTTTGAATATTTGTAAATAGAATGTTAATATCACTTTGCAGGTCTGGTTCCCATTGTTGGAGTGTCTGGGTTCCAGTCCCGGCTCCACTCCTGACTCCAGCCTGCTGCTAGGGCCCACCCAGGGGAGCAGCAGGTGCTGGCTCAAGTGCCTGGGTCCCGGACTCCCACCCGGGAGACCCAGGTTTCGTTTTCTGGCTCCCGGGAATCTGGATTATGAGCCAGTGGACTAAGGAGGTGGGGCGGGGACGAAAATGCCTCTATCTTTTGAAATAACTAAGTGCAAAAAATTTTAAATATCTATTCAGATTTCTCAAGTCGTACTTTCAGGAATAATTGCTTGTAGTGGTTAAAGGTAATAATCCAAGAGTCTCACTTATAACTCTGACGGTCCTTGCCCAAACCGGGGAGGTAGGGAACTCTCACTCTCCCTGTTTCCATGGTGAGATTACTGAGAAGTCTGGGATGTGGCCGGAGTTGGGTCACCCAGTGGGGCTGCTGGGCTCACACCCCAAGAGGTACTGGGGTCAAAACTATTCAGCATTGAGTACCCTCAGGTACGTTGACCTGCCCAAGCAGAGGACGCAGGCCCAGGTTCCGGGGACTGCGGCTTTACGGTTCCAGTCTTGTGAACTCCAGACTCAATGGATGACACGTCTCCATCCATTCCCTCTGCAGGGGATCGCAGGGAAGGGGCACACTGTGAAACCCAGCTGCATGCATGTGGGTCACAGGGTCCCAGGAGTGTGTAAGTGATGGGCGCAGTGAAGGCCCCAGAGCTGAGGGTGTAAGTGGTGGGCGCAGTGAAGGCCCCAGAGCCGAGGGTGTAAGTGGTGGGCGCAGCGAAGGCCCCAGAGCCGAGGGTGTAAGTGGTGGGCGCAGTGAAGGCCCCAGAGCCGAGGGTGTAAGTGATGGGCGCAGTGAAGGCCCCAGAGCCGTAGGAAATCAAACCCCAAGAGCAGATCTGCATCCTCAGCTCTAGCCTGAGTATTGCAAAGCCCCAAGCAGTGAGAATCATCTAGTTCTAAGACAGCCCTGCTTTGCTTCTTCGGCACCTGATTTTCTGTCAGGCTTTAAGTGCAAAAACAAAATCCCACACCAGGGTGGAATAGAGTGAGATGAAATGTAAACGCAGTGCCCAAGAGCCGTGTTGGCCTCAGTCAGGCGCAGCGTTCTTTTGAAGCTGGCAGGAAATGACTGAACGCGAATGAGAGCAACAGAGGGTCATTCAGGAAACACAGGAAGTCCAAGAGATTCATTGATCTCTGTTAATATTGGGAAATACGGGATCAGGAACAATACTTTGCAAAATATCAATTTCAGAGTGGTTTTTCTTTTTCTTTCTTTCTTCCTTTTTTTTTTGTGTGACAGCAGTAATTATCCCAAGAGCGTGCAGGTAACATTATTAATTTGTTTGCCACTTTGCGGTGATAAAATTGGGATCTGAGCTACCCATTGTGCGCTGAGCTCAGGCCGCAGAATTTTATGTACTCAAGAAGACCTTTCTCACAGTGCAGTAATTAGGCACTGTTGACACTGTAATCTCTGGAAACGGTCCTAATGAGCCCCCTGGACACGAATCTCACAGATAAAAACCTCAAAGCCACAGTGCGCGTCTTTTGGTGGCCCCTCAGCAAGCGAGAGCTCAAACACAGGTATGGGAAACACGGGCCCGGCTCAAGTGTAAACCAAGATTACATTGTGTTGTGAGTTCTCTGCATTCGGAGGGAGGAAGCCACTGCAGAGGCGGCTTGGTTGCCTCTGGAAGGGCAGTAGAATCATCACATTTTGTACTCACCATTTGATAGACCTTCAACTTGCAAATTTTTTTTTCCATTTCCACTACCGCCACAAACAAGGAAATTTGAATTGGAAGTAAGAGTCGGTGCATCTGTTGTCATTTTCAATATTAATATAAGGCTAAAAAAAATTCCACTATTGATTGGAACTTAGATAAATGAGCTATGATTTGTGTATTGATGAAGTTTAAAATTGAGTCCCTGTAGCCTGTTACTGCATATCTGTGTATTATATCATAGTACATATTCATGTACTATGAATTAACATGTGACGGATGACCACAAAAACATCAGGAGTTGATCAGTGCGTGACAAGCGAAGTGCCAAGACATCAGGGTTACCACTCCTTTCCTTATTGCCAGCAAGCACCGCTGCTTCAAAATGCCAGCCTGTGGATGGCACTTGGGAATTCTTCAGGCTTGCTTGGGAGTTCTCGCTAGCTTTGCTTTGGGATCGTCCTTGCTTCATGGCACATTTATTCTGCAGACACCCGGCACCTGAGGCACGGACCTCAGGACCTGAGAAGTCTTGGGAGACCTCTCACTCTCTCCTTCCATGATACGGGAGAGGAGGAGGGTGGCCAACTGCGGTGAGAAGAGAGATGACTACACTACAGGTGGAAGCTCTGTCTGTAGGGCAGAGAGTGGGTGGCAATGTGTGGGACAATGTAAAGGACCAGGAGTCCACACTTTCAAAGACAATGTCTAGGGCCGGCACATGACCCCACTGGCTAATCCTCCACCTCCAGGTGGTGACATCCTAGATCGGCACTAATTTATGTTCTGGCCGCTCCACTTCCTATTCAACTCTCTGCTGTGGCCTGGGAAAGCAGTGGAAGATGGCCCAAGTCCTTGGGGCCCTGTACCCACAAAGGAGACCTGGAAGAGGCTCCTGGCTTCAGATCAGCTCAGCTCTAGCCATTGTCACCATTTGGGTAGTTAAACAGTGGATGGAAGATCTTTCTCTCTATCTCTCTTTCTCTCTATAGACCTACCTTTGAA